CCCCACCACTGTGGCAAGTTGGCTTCTCCCCCCCCCCCATCAGGCCTGCACCGAGGCCCACGCCTCCCCTCCCCCCACTGCCGCTGCAATGCATCTGCTTCTCCCCCCACCTGTACAGACCCGCTCCTCCCTCCCACCGCTGCTGTGTTGGTCCGCATTGGCCCTGCAAGTGGTGACTGACAGAAGGTGGCCTGCCCCCCCCTCCCCATGCCGCCACCCTCAGGGAGCAGGGCAGGGGGGAGCAAGGCCTCACGGCCTGCTCTGTCCCCTGTGTGTGCTCTGCCATACCACGACCTCCTGTCTGAAGACTTATTCACACTCTGATTGGCTGTTTCAGTCAGCCAGTCAGAGCATGAATAAAGTGCTTATGGCCAGACAGACAGATTAAGGCTTTTGTAATATTAAAAGATATATGCAAGCATATACACACACATGCACACCCTTTCTGCCAGGTACTGTATGGAAGTAACAAGGGCTGGGTTCAGATTAAAGGGCTTAACAAAAAATTTTTAAAAATCTGGTGTTAAAATTTGAACAAAATTTAAATCAAATTTTAAAATTTGTTTAAATTTTTTTTTAAATTAAAAATTAAATCTGGCTCACACCCTGGCTCAAAAGCCTTGGGAAGTAAATTTTTATTGGGTGTTCTAAAGTGAACACACTTCCCCACTTGGAAGAAATGTTCAACTAAAACTGGGTTTACTATGGGGGAAAAGGGAACCAACACACAACCCTAAAGAAAACCTTAACTGTTTTGTTGAGCATTAACTAAAACTCCAAACAGTTAACAGGTTGTTTTGCCCATGACTGAGACTAATGCCAAACTAGCCTGGCCTGTTGGGAAGAGAGACTTACCCAAACCTGCCATCCAGGGCTCTACCACGTATGCCAGCCAAAGTAGCAAGTGCTGGGTAGGGAAGCCCGGACTGGAGCTACTAGCCATCACTGGAGATTGCTGCCACACCTCTTCTGCTAGGTGTCTGCCACTGTTCCTCTACTGATCCTTTTCATGTTCCTTATGTGATCTCAGTTATCTGCTCATGCTCAGGGATTTCAGACCTTTTAGCTATATAGCGAATATTGAAATTCTACATGACTCCACTGTAAGGAATTTTGCACACACAAGAACTTCCCCTTTGAGGAGTTGAAGGGCCAGAAGGCCATCCAGGGAATAACTCCTCTTTGGAAACTCCCCTGTCCCTCACAGACGCGGAGGGCTGTTTGAAACACAATCTGATTTATCTGCCATTTATAAATGTGCACTTTAACCCTGAACAGTAAAACCCAGGCCTAAAAACAGTTTAAAAAAAAAAAGGCATGAGTAACCCCCAAACCTCTGAATGTGTGCACAAATGAAGGTATACAGGGAAAGAATACACAAAATTAACATTATAGAACATAACCGTAGCCAAGCATGTAGAACATAAGTAGGATTACATATCATTAGTATGACCTGAGTGCACCTGGTTTCATGGTTAAGTAGATATCAAAATAGTCTTCTCATGTTCACCTATGATGATATCCTGGCTCAGTGGAAGTCAGTGGCAAACTCCTATAGCCTTCACCTGGGCCAGACTTTTAATTCAAATTTCCTTAATACAGTCACTGGAATTGGTCATACCAGTATCTGGACATTTCTACATATACTTGTACATAAAACATGTATCTTCATTGCTTTATAAATGCATCTTGCTGCATTAGCTTGTGCCTGAGAGAAGCAAGTAAAAATATCTGTCCGATTTCATATTCCATTGCTTTGGTCTATGAAAGTCATGTCAGCACTTCCTCAGAGGCGTGTCAGGGTTGGCAGGCAGCTTCACTTCTTCCACACTCTAAGACACTGGTGCTCAACCTCTGGCCCATGAGACCATGTCACCCAGCCTGTGGTCTGTCATCCACAGGTCTGAAAATTTGGCAGCTCCCTCTGCTACCTTATCTCTGGACCCATGAGGAGCTCCAGGGGAGTATGAAACCAGGAGAAACCACCTGTGTGCCAAATGTTTTTGGCAAGACATGTGGGAGGTCATTCTCAGTGCTTGTCTCTCCACTCTGGAATTCGCTTCCCCTTGAGCCCTGTCTAAGCCCAAGGCTGGGTGTCTCTCAGAAAGGCTATAAAACTTCTGCATTTGGACAGGTGTTAAGCGAGTACGCTTAAACTGGGATATTGTTTACAGAGTTTTTGTTTTATATTGTATTCTACTATTCTACGTGCTTTTATAAATTATTTTGCTATCTTAATATAAGCTGCCATGACCCTTTATTGGGAAAGGTGGTGTATAAATAAAATAAATACGTGAATTTACTTTAGTTAGCCCAAAACTCTATGCAAAAATAATACGCACATTTGTATACAGCTCCCTGTTTCAGTATCTTCACTGCTCTTGAGTGTTCTTTAGGCACAGATCAGAGGCTTGTAAAGAGACCCTTTTCTATGCTGCATTTTCTCTGGGCAGGTATTCTCTGAACAGCCCTGTTAATGCTAGTCATAAAACAGAAAAAGAGGCAAGCTGATTAGTTCTTTAGATTTTAAAGTAAAAAAACAACAACTGAAAATCTAATTTCCGCCATGAAAGGAGGGTACCTGCATGGCTCAGCTTGGGGGTGGGAGGTGGGTTATGGGATGGCAAGGCAGTATCTGCACAGCTCAGTGAGATACTGGCAGCATGGCGCACAGTCCATACAGCCGACAGCATCAGAGGCTGTGATGTGTACAGTTGAAGGCCCCGACTGAATAGCTCTGTTATAATAGGCATTT